TATATATAAAGAAAAGAAAAAGCCTATAATGCCTTTTTAACGCTCTTTTAAATCATGTTAAAAATCCTTGATCTAGAATTTTAGGCTCCTCCCAATCTAACCACACTCCATTTAACTTTTTTTTAAATAGGTCTTTATTGATTTAAGAGAGAGGAAGGAAGAGGGAGAGAGAGACAGAAATATCAATGATGAGAGAAGTCACTGATCAGATGCCTCCTGCACGCCCCTCACTGGGGATCGAGCCCACAACCCGGGCATGTGCCCTGACCGGGAATTGAACCTCGATCTCCTGGATGATAGGTCAGTGCTCAACCGCTGAGCCATGTAGGCAGGGCTTCATTTAACTTTTTTGTCCCCTCCCTTAAACATGCCTTCTTATATGTTAGCAGTGGTTACAAACAGCAAAGGGACTAAGCTTGGAGAACATCTGAAGAGGAGCATTTACTTTTTACTCTGCATACTTCTGCACTGAGTTTTTCTACAGTGGCAATGTATTACTTTTGGAATTAAAATTAAAACACGAAAAGTAAAACAAAACATCTTCTTGCCCCACTCTGGCTCTCCCTCTCTTCTATATCCATCCAAATTTCTCATTCTTCAAATTTCCATTCAGAATGTATTTCTTAACTCTCACACTTATGGTCAATTGATTTTCAACTAGGGTGCCAAGGCAATTCAATGGGGACAGAAGATTCTTTTCCAAAAAATGGTGCTGGGACAACTGGATATCTATATGCATAAACGTAAAATTGGACCCCTTACCTCATAACACATACAAAAATTAACTCAAGATGGGTTGAAGACCTAAATGTAAGAGCTAAAACTAAAACTCTTATAAGAAAACATAGGAGCAAATCTTCATGACCTTGGATTAGGCAATGGTTTCTTGGATATGATATCAAAAGCATAAGAAACCAAAGGAAAAATAGATAAACTGGACTTAACAAAAATTTAAAACTTTAGTATAGCCTGGCTGGGCATGGCTCAGTAGCTGAGCATCGACCTAGGATCCAGGCGATCGTGGTTCGATTCCCAGTCAGGCTATACACCAGGTTTGCGAGCTTGGTCCCCAGTTGGGGCCATGCAGGAGGCAGCCGATCAATGATGACTCTCTCATCATTGATGTTTCTGTCTCTCTCTCTCCATCTCCCTTCCTCTCTCTGAAATCAATAAAGATATATTTAAAAAAAACAAAAGAACTTTTGTGTACCAAAGGATACCACTAAGGAAGTGGAATGACAACATACACAATAGGAGAAATATCTGACAGGAGACTTGTCTCCAAAATATACAGTGTCCCAAAAAAATGTATACACACTTTAACAGCTGATAGCTCAATTTTGAAAATGAAACATACTTTAATAAGCACTGCCTTTATAATTATTCAAAGTGTGTGTATACATTTTTTGGAACACCCGATATTTAAAAACTCTTACAACTCAATAAAAAGACAAATGACCCAATTAGCAAATGGGCAAAGGATATGAATGGGCATTTTTCTAAATAAGAGACAAAAATTACCACTAAGCACAAGAAAAATACTCAACATCATTAGCCATCAGGGAAATGCAAATTAAAACCACAGTGAGATTCCACTTCACACCCACTAGGATGGCTATAATAAAATAAGACAAATAATTGTTATTGAAGATGTGGAGAAACTGGAACCCTCTTACATAGCTGATGGGAATATAAAATGGTGCAGCCTCTTTGGAAATAGTCTGGCAGTTGCTCAAAAGGTTAAAGTTACCATTCGACCCAGAAATTACGCTCCTAGGTATATATCCAAGAGAAATGAAAACATATGTCCACATAAAAGCCTATACATGAATGTTCATAGCAGCATTACTCATAGCCAAAAAGTGGAGGGGGAAATAAATGTTCCTCAACTGATGAATAAATAAACAAAATGTGGTATATCACACAGTAGAATATTATTTGTTCATAAAAAGGAATGAAGTACTGATACATGTTACATATGGATGAACTTTGAAAATATGCCAAGTAAAAGAAGTCTGTCACAAAAGACCACATATTTTTTTATTCCATTCCATGGAGGCAGAAAGATTAATGGTTGCCTAGGGCTATGAGTTTGAAGGGAAATTGGGAGTAACTGCTAATGGGTACAGACAGGGTTTCTTTTGAAGTGATGAAAATGTTCTAAAATTGATAGTGGCTGTACAAGTCTGAGTATACTAGAAAAAACACTGTATTTTATACTTAAATGGGTGTTGTGTGGTATGTGAATTGTACCTCAATACAGTTTTAAAAATTACCTCTTCCATTGAGCCTTCCCTTTCTACTACAGTCCACATTAATCTCTCCATTCCCTCAATTCCCACAGCTCTTAAAACTGTCCTACACAATTTAGTACTCAGTTTAACTACCTAATAATATTATTTCATGTAGATTAGCCATGACTTGTCAGCCAGACTGTAATTTTCTTGAGAGGAATGAATAAGTCTTCTGTTTCTCAAATATCTCTAAACCACCTAACACATAACTGGGCATATAGTAAGTACTCAGTAAATACTGGTGGTTGTAAAGAATAGATTGAATGTGCATGTGCTTGTTTTCACACATGTGCGTCAAACACACACAGAAGTTGGGGGAATGAATACAATCTTAGTGAGGTGAGAGAACGACACTGTGTGAAACTGTAGAATATAAGATTTATTTAAGAGAAAAAACAGCATGATTTGGATACTTTTGTTCTTCCCCTCCTTCAGCCTCCTGCTGCTCAATACCACATGGCCAACCATATCCTGGTCTCTGAGATCCTAAGCGAGTCCTTGAGGTCCTGTCTAGATACTTGACTGTTTGGTGTCACTATTCCCCCATCGCTTCCTCCTCGTCCTCCTCCTCTGTCCAGCTCAGATCATCTGAATCCTCAGATTCTTCCTCATCCATTTCTAACCCAAGCCCTGCCTTAGCCTTCTCAGCTAGTGCATCAGGGTGCTCCAGCTGGGCCCAGGATCCTGGGTCAGCTTTCACCAGGGAGATTTCAACCCGAGATGGCATCAAGGAGACAGAGCTCTGCTCCACGTTTATGACCTGAGAAAGAGGGAAAGATACAGGAACACAGGAAAAAGAGAAAATGAAATCAAAGGGATTGGGGCCAGGAAGGGGTGGGGATAAGTGACAGGGAGAAAAATCAAATGTAAGGTGGGGAAAAGATGGAGGAATAAGACAACATAGTAAGGGAGAGAGAGAAAAAAGAAAGAAAGAGGGAGGGGGGAAGAGAGGAAGAAAAAGAGGGAGGGAGGAGAGAATATAAAAGCAAATGAAGAGAAAACCTCCACTTTTCCCCAATACAACTCCTTCCCTCAAGACACCCTCTATTCATTGCAGCTTGGCCCTTCTTTTCACGCCATCAGCCCCCCTCCTGTGCTCCCTTATCTTCACTTACCCCCCAGAGCTTCATCTGTGCTTGGAACACACGGTTACCATCAAAGACAATGTGGACATGAAGCTGAGAGAAAAGAATTACAGGGGTAGTAACAATCCAGAAGGTCAGAACAGGTCATTATGACATAGAACCAGGCCAGAGGTGTGATCCATACATCCACAGGTCAGTCAGATAACCCTGACCTAATAGCTCTACCTTCCTCTCAGGGGACTATGGAGCCTACATGTTAACTACAAAGAGCAACTCTGCCTGTCAGATTGTAATACCACCCAGCTCACTAGCCTCCCACCCAGCACCAGACATTCCTTACCTCAGTTTGACTGGCCTTCACCCAGTTGAATGCGGGAAGTGGAATCTGGCCATACACAGTCACCACTACTAAGGAATCTGTCTGGTGCCAATCGTGACGGCAAGATGCTGGTAGCTAAAGAAATGTGAAATGTGAGTGGTAAAAATGAATTGTTAACCCAAGAGGAGCTCTCATGGTTTGTGTAGAGAAGAGACAAAGTCTCAGAAAGATTAACACTACCTTATATTGCAAAGCTTCTGGACTGTTGTGGGATAAGGAGCAGAATCTTATTTGGTCCATACAAAGGGGAGACAGAGAGCTTGCTATGAGGTATGGGGAGGAAAAATTATTTCTGGAATTGGATTCTAATCAAGAATTCAGAAAAGTTGGAGCTTACCTGCTTTCCCCAGTCATGTCTACCAACTCGGCATCCTGGCTGTGCCAGGAAGGCCCCAAAATCCAGGGTCTGGATGCCACAGCAGCTCCAAGACTTCATCCTGAGGTAGGAAGATAATTCAACTGAATCCCTTTCTACTCCCACAAGCCCCCCACTCCCATATTATGATCAACATTGGGAGAAACCTCTCATAGCCCACCCAGTATCCTCCCTCACCCCTCATGGAATCGAGGTGCTCCTGGGTGGTAGGTACATGGAGTAGCATCACTCTCAGGGCCTTGATAAACCTAAGCCAGATCAAGGAGAATAGGAAAAGAATCAGGTCATTCTAAAGTGTACCCCATGCAACTTCCTATCTGTACCCAGCCATCTCTTAGGTATAGTACCCCTCAGCCACATGCTTGAGCACCCATAAACTCACAGCATCACATCCTGGGTTCTGGCAGCTGGAACCAGTCTGGATCAGACTACTGTCAAGTCCTGGGCAAGGGAAACAGAGTCAGGAACTTACCCATTCCATCCACCCAATTGCCAATTTCACTAAATTCCAGTCTGTGAGGCCTGTCCTACTAAGGACTCACTTACCTGCTCCAGATTCCTGGTCTAATTCCTTCTTTTCCAATGCCATTTCCAGAGCTTGGGATATATTTAGTGGAAGCAACTTTGGAGGCAACTCCGACCTACAGGGTAAGGGTGGGGTAATTTAGTCCTGACTCATTAACCATGATCAACAGCTCCGACACTCCCACCAGTGCTAATAGAGTCAAAGAAGTCTGGTGAAAGTGGGGCCAGGGTTGAAGAAGTTGGGTAGCAACCCCATTGCCAATTTTCATCCCAAATCCCTGACCCTGGGGAAATCCCCAGGACTTCTCTTGCCCAGCTACTCAATTGCTCTGAATCTCACATTTCTCTGTAGAATTGCACCGTTTCCGCTTCCTCTAATTAATTGTGGACCTAATATGACTTTCTTCTGTTGTTCATACTATTTCCACAAAGTTAACTTACTTATCTGCAGCCTCCTGGCTGCCAATACTACTACATCCCTTTCTTGATGTAAAACTACTTTAACTAAATATGTATTCATGAGGGGCTATCTGCCCTGTTAAGTCGAAATACCTAGCCTCTCACACCATACCACCTTACAGCAAGCAACATTATTTCTGGACAGAGTTTACCTATGGCACAAAATATATACCAAGCCTTGACATCTGGCCCTCCTCACATCTCTATGCCCTAGCTCCCAAACAGCAATGACCCATTAGTCACTCCTAGGGAGCTCCATGAATGTAGCAAAAACCCTGGGACCTCCTCCTCTTTACTTGGGCCTCTCCCGACGCAAAGTCTCTGCTGACTTTGGAATCATAGTCAGTTTTTGCTCCTGAAGTGAACTGCTTGTGCCAGGGCCTTCAGGTTGAGGGGCTTCAGGGAGCTTCTCAGCACAGTGTGGTCCCACAGTACAGCCCTAATACAGATAAGGAAAGAAGGATTAGAGATAGAATCATTCTATTCGGGGAAGAATCTTAGTAAAGAATTTACCTTGATGTTTAAGAACTCAGAGAAATCTACAGTTCGTTTCCGGCAGCAGGACCAACCCTGATAACAAGACCCAGCTCAGCTTAGATTCCTGGGTGTATTTCCTTTGGGAAATACTCCTGCTATCCCCCCTCACTTATTCCTCACCTTAAGTGCATCATGGAAGATTGGAATCCCAGGGTGATGGCAACAGGAATCTGTGGATACCAGTAGAAGGATCAAGAAAGGAAACTATACCAAATGTCACTTCTAACCTCTTCCCCTATACACTGTGGTGTTTCCATATAATATTTAAAAAAAAAAAAAAATCAGTAAAGGTTGAAGACCACCCAGAGTGGTTAAACTAGGGCAGGTACACTAAATTTCTTTTTCTACTCCTTTAACAGACTGCAGACAGATGACTACTCCCCAGGATCCAGAGCCCCCCACCAAGACCAGGATTACTCACCAGGAAGGTTGGTATTGGGGTCAAAGTGCTGCCCACAGCCTTTGTTATGGCAGAGTAGAGACATGGAAGCGTTGGTAGAATTACTAAAAGGGTATTTCAAGGAGTCTGGCTGCCGAATGGGGAACACCTCTTAGTCTGGAAGCTTTTAGCTGCCTGGAAGGGCCAGCTGTATCTATCTTTAGTTCAGGAGGCGTACACCTCCTAACATGGGCAAGGGAACTTCAATTGGTCTTTCCAGCCAATAGGAAAGAGCTCAGGAGCATTTTAGCTCTGAGGCTCAAGAAAAGGATCAGGCAGAGTAGGGCTTGGAACTTGGGTGAGGTCAGCTAATAACTGCTGACAGATTGTTTTAGATTTACCATGTCGATTCTGAGCGACATACCAGCAGCTGCTCAGAAACAAACACCAATTTTGAGACCCCTCCCAGCTCAATGAGGGTACCCCAATCCCTCAGCCCATTTTTTCAAAGCAGCTTTCCTCCCAGCCTTATTACCTCTGTGTACCCTTAATAACACCGATCTTTGTCAGCCATTTCTGCCATAGTATGTACCCAACCCCTGCCATATTTGCTTAGATCAGGGGTGGGGAACTTTTTATGCCAAGGGCCACTTGGATACTTGTAACACCATTGTCAGGCCACATAAAATTATCAGCTTAAAAATTAGCTATGGACTGGCTGGTGTAGCTCAGCGGTTGAGCAATGACCTATGATCTAGGTGATCCTGGTTCAATTCCCGGTCAGGGAACATGCCTGGGTTGTGGGCTCCACCCCATGCAGGGGGCATGCAGGAGGCAGCCAATCAATGACTCTCATCAATGTCTCTCTATCCCTCTCCCCCTCTCTCTAAAAATCAATTAAAAAACCGTATTTTAAAAATTAGCTATGAAAAAAGCTCCTAGATTTACTGAATTTCAAGTCCTGCCTGCAGTTCCTTGGCAGGGCCAGGCCAAATGATTTCGCGGGCAGTATATGGCCCGTGATCCCCAGCCCTGGCCTAAATGGATAAATACTTTATAAAATCTACTGCTCATTTTCTGAGACAGGGAAACTCCCCTCCCTCCCTTCCCCTTCAAAAATAGCACAGAAAATGAAAAGGATTAAAATGTATTTTAATAAGTTGATGCTGCATTACTGCTCCATTTTTTCAGAAAAACTCCAAAGGTATCAGGGACAAATCAAACTTGGTACACCATTTTTTTTTTTTTTTTTAAAAAAAGCACAGCATAACTACCTAAGATAGGCAAGGCTAAGAGCTACTGTTTGACAACCAGCATACAGCAACCCTGTTCCCAAGACTGTGCTAGGCCTATCAAGAAAAGCTGTGAACAGCAACATCAGACACCAAAGGGCGATTCCTGGGTTGTCCTTACCCAAGAAAAGGATGGAGGCAAGATAACACAAGATTTTTAAAAAGATACACTAAAATGAAAATCTCTAAGAGAAAAATGTCTTGCTTAGGACATGAAGGGATAATATATGGGATACAACAGAACCGTATGTATGTTATCTGCGACCTCTGCGGACATTTGCCTAAATTCCCACCTGGGAGTGAATGAAGTTATGGGGCTAAGGTCATTGGAGGATGTGTGTGGTTTTTGTGGTACATGTGGCAGTGTCTCTGGGGTTGGGGAATTTAAGAATGAGAACACAAATAGAACAGGATAAACAGAATGGAATGATCAAGATTAATGGGGGCTCTAACTGCATCCACTTTGCCATTGTCCCCCACCCCTAGGCCTTCAATAATCACGAGACTTCAGGAATGCACCACACAGACATGATTAAACAATATACCACACAGAAATTATTTGTTAAATATCGCCCCTCCCTTGCCCTCTGTTTCCAGCATACTCCCTAGAGTAGTACAGGCAGGGAAGACCTAACTATTAGGAGGAAACCTTAACACTTTTCCAGGGTAGAATTCTGGCTAGTCCAAAAAGGGTCCTTCTCTTAAGGGTTTTGGGAAACTAGACACTGCAATTTTATTAGTATCGGCGACGTTTGTTTGGAGCAAATTCAGCTCCAGGAGCTGCACGGTTGAACGCAGGAGGGGTTCCACCAATTGCCCCTATTCCTTCCATTGTAGCAGCTTGGCCAAAGCGTTCGGTAGTTGGTGGAGTCTTAAAGAGAGAAAGAGAGCAACATTACAATATAACCTATCCTAAACTTCCCACCCATCTGCAGTCCCTCCCTTGGAGGCCATTTCCACCCAATTTTTCAAGGCTCTGGGTGCCTAAGCATGTTTAAAACTAGCAGATAAAACTCTAGTAGATACATGTCCCTGAAAGGAAGGTTGCCTGAATTATGGACCCACTCAACCATACCACCTTTACCTTTTTATCCCTATCCTTAATGGCTAAGCAATATTACACACTAAATGCCTAAGATGGTGAAGTTCTACCTATGTCCTTTTTGCTGAATTAGGCACATGGACAAGAATAGGCCATCACTCTTCATGCAACTTGAAAGCCTATCCAGTTTTAACATTTTTTCATGAGAACTAAAATAACCTCAGAATTGCATGAACCATAAAGCCTTTTGTATTCACATCTATTTTGTGTGATAATGCGTAGCCTTCATTGCGCTCTTGCCAAAAAAGAACCCGTTCACCTAGGATAGCAACTAACTAGTCAGTCGGTCAGACTAGACTGGCCCATCAGAGCCATCTTCTTAGTCCTACATAAAGTGTATTTTTAAGACTGGGTTTGCTCAAGATTCAGAAATAAAGATCTTGAGGTTACACTGGATAACAGTGGTTCTAAACACTGTTATCTGTAGCAAAACCGTGGCAGGCCCAAGGGCTATAGAGGCAAAGTCCTTTCTCCTATCACTATTCAGAGTTACTGTTAAGGCCCCATAGTTATTACCAATCCCAAGGTTCCATCTGGCATCATAGTGGCAGGTCCTGGAGGAGCTGGGGTACCAGCAGGCACAGGAGCAGGGGGCATGGCACCTCTGTTGTTTATGCCCATAGCACCTAAAGCAGAGTAGTGTGATCAGTACAGGAGACAGATATCAGTGTCTTTCTGTGTAAAGGAAACAATTCAACAAGACCTTTGGGCTAAGACATGTTACCCCATCCCCACCCCCCAAAAACAATGCTCCCAGAAATGTGGACCCCTTAAATCTGGACTAGGTAAGATAAGCTACATAGTTCACCAGAGATGAGACAAAAAAGGAAATCAGAGTCATTAATCTCTTGAGTCCTTACCTCCCATAGCCATCTGGCCCATCCGTATCTCCTGCTCTCTCTGAAAAACAAAAAGACACTAAAGACAGTCTAAGACAGCACTGCATTCTACCACAATCCACTGAAGACCACACACTAAGGAAAGTATAGAGTGGTAACACATCCCAAGTACACTGAAACCAAGCTGAGGAACACTAACAACAGCTCCTCACTAGTTGTACAGTGAATTCAAGATCAGAGCTACTAGGACACAAGCCAGAATCTCCTATTAGGTACAAGTGAGGTGAAAGGAAAGGGGATAGTAGATTTCTTCTATAGCTCCAACCTGTACAACTTCTAGCACAGCAAAGGCTGCTATGGAACTGGATGTATCTCATCCTGTAGTCACTGAGTCTAAATGGCATATACTGGCCCCAGCTTTTCATCCTAAATTGCCTGTGGGGCAAAAAGAGCTCTCCTTCAAACCTTACCTTTCCTTCCTATGAATTATTTCTAAAAGGAGTTTCACAGAATGGAAAAATTGATCATAACCTGGTGTGTTGTATAGTCCTAGTGGGCAGACAATTCATGGTGGATTTGTCATATCACGACTGGCCTGGTACATCATGGGCACAAAGGAGATATACCGCATCAGGGAAGGTCCCCTTGAATCCTTCTTGCTGTCGCCGCATCATTTCTTCCTGCTGTCGCCGCATCTCTTCCTCACGGCGCCTGCGCTCTTCCTCCTGTCTAGAGTCACCAAGGTATTTAAGTAGAGGCATTCCAGAACTTGAGCAGATTGCCTTAATAGGGGAGACTCAGTCAAGGGGATCAAGAGCCTACTGAAAACTATCATAGCTCTCCAGGAAACTCAAATGTTAAATGTGCCCAACCCTAAAGCACTCTAGTTGTGCCCCTCAGGGGAAAAAAGTTCTCTCCCAAAGGCACCTCATGAGACCAGCACTCAGCTGTTTTCTCTTTAGGGTAGCCCTGGGTAATTCCCAGAACCACTGGCAGCTGAAACACCTCCCACCCAAAGGGAGAACTTCAGAAACCACCAGGAAATGTTTGTCAACATATTTACAAATGCAAGAGGTAGCATAGTAGTAGGAAAGCAGGAGTGAGACATTACCTTCTAGAGTGGTTGAGAGAAAAAGGGTTGAGAAGAGTTACCTGAGCTCCAGTTGCTTTCGTTTTTGCACTTCTTGGTTGTGCAGCTCTTCCATCCTCCGAAGTTCTTCTTGACGCCTCATCAAATCTAGAAAAACAACAGACTGATTGAGAGTATTCTTCATTCTCCTCATATGGGCCCAATAATTTTCCATAATTAAAGATCCAGAAAGCAAAGGGGATATATAATCCCTGAGTGGCCATCCGAGGTATCCAGATTCCAAAAATAAAGCCAAACCTATTATTTCCTTCTCCACAGAATCCAGTATTCTCTGCCACATCTCCAAGCTCATTTGCCTACCAAGATCAACAAAATATTTCAGAGACTAAAAGTAGAGGTTTAGGCCTTTCTCTACTGATTGATACAAAGAAACTCCAGAAAAACTTATTTTGTTGTTCTTCTAGTTTTAAGACTTATAGGCCTATACTCACCCTGCCTCATTAGCATGACCTGGTGCTCATGGCGAGCAGCCTCCATCTCCATCTCCAGTTTCTCACGAGCTTCCTTGATGTTGCGGTCCACTTGGTCCTGCTGCTGTTTCTCCATCTCAATGAGTGCCTTCCAGCGCATGGCATACTCATACTCAAAGGAGCCAGGCTGTGCAAATCTAGGTGGCTGTTCCCGCTCCCTAAAGACAAGGTTCCTAGGTTACTAAAACTCTGTCCAAGATTCCAACTAAGCAATGCATTCCTCCTGAGGGCCAAGATAATGGCTGCTAGTGAACATATATAGCAAAGACCTGCCTCTTTTACACATCCCTTTACAAGCTTCCTTAAGAACAGGCAAACACCTAACAGGAATCTGTCAGGACAACATACTTGTGAAATTGCTGGTTCTTTATAACCAGCTTCTCTGGAAGTCCCTCTTCATCATCTAACTGGTCCATGGGTTCCACAGTCACAGGCCGAGGAAATCTGGGAAAAAGAAAGATCAAATTATATCCTACACTAGGCTTCCTTTCTACACCTGCCATGGACACAAATGAACTAGTTTTAGGGGTCAGGATTAGACAATTAAACTTCTGAAGGAGTTTTATACCCAGTCCCAAGTAACCAATTCCTTTTTAATGGCATTATGTGGAATCTGGGGTTGATAGGATCAAGTCAGGCTTCAGATCTCTGAATACAGCCTAAGTAGATACAGTACTTAAGTGCAACCTAAACATGTTATCTACAGAACTACAGATAACTTAGGGTAAATACTAAGATGTTGCACGCACAAAACAACTTTTCAGAGTTATAAAACTTCAAAGGGGAGATTTAACATTGATTAAATGACAACCCACTGAAGGACTAAAAAAGTATTTATTTAATCCTCACCCAAGGATATGTTTTTATTGATTTTAGAGAGAAAGGAAGGAGGAGAGAGA